GGGAAGGGGAAGGGGAAGGGGAAGAGGAAGGGTGGGAAGGAAGGAGGAGGAGGGCAGGACGACGACAGCCTTGAGGGAGTTGGGGGCGCCTGGCTGGGGAGAGACCCACCTTAGAGAAAGAAGTGGTGGTGGTGGTGGTCACCCACAGCAGCCCGGGTGACTTGGATCAAGTTTGGGAAGTGAGCAAGGCAGTGGGTGGGTGGCTTCTAGGGTGGTGGCACGTTGGCACATAGTGACTTCTGGGGTGTGGCACATTGGGATACACTCACGCAGGGGTAGGCAACCTTTCCCCTTTAAGGGCCGAGGGACTTCAGCTCCCAGAAGCCTCAGCCATGTTGGCCAATAGCCCCATGTTGGCCAATAGCTCCTGGGATTCTGGGAGCTGAAGTCCCTCGGCCCTTAAAGGGGAAAGGTTGCCTACCCCTGGGACACAGGGACTTCTGGGCTGATGGGTAAGCCCTCAGAGAGTGGTGGAGTCTCTTTCTTTGGAAGTTTTTAAACAGAAACTGGATGGCCATCTGTCGGGGGTGCTTTGATTGTGTCTTCCTGCATGGCAGGGGGTTGGACTGGATGGCCCTCGGGGTCTGTTCCACCCCAATAAGGCTTTCTCAGGGGGGGTCTGGGGGTGCGGGCCATACCAGGTGACACCCTAAAAGGGTCTGACGCCACTGCTCCCCAAACATCTGCGTTTGGGCAGAAAGGGGCTGTTTCCCTTTAAAATGCAGTAGTAAGAGATGGGGAGAGCGGGGTGGGGCTCAGGAGAGGTAAAGGTGAAATGGTGGTAAAGGTAGGCAAGTGTGGCCAAGGGGCGCTCTAGTGTGTGAGTCTGGACGTGGTGTTCCTTCAAGCCCCTTTCCAACCTACGGCGATCCTATCATGGTGTTTTCTTGGCAAGTTTTCTTCAGAGGAGGTTTGCCATGGCCTTTTCCTGAAGCTGAGAGAGTGCGACTTGCCCAAAGTGACCCAGTGGGTTTTCATGGCCGAGGTGGGATTCGAACCCAGCTCTCCAGAGTCATAGTCCAAGGCTCAAACCACCACGCCACGCTAGCTCCTTACACACGCAAAATGGGTGCGTGTCTCTATGCCTGTGTGTGTGTGTGTGTGTGTCAGCGGCGGCTCCCTCCTCCTTTTTCGTCCTCCACTCCCTTCAGGGTGACCAAAGGCCCCACAAAATGTAGGAAGGACATTCAAGGAAAAAAATGTAGCAGGACATGACCAAATGAAAACCTCCAAACACTCCTAAAAATGTAAATTCACGCTCCAAAGGGAGGCATGCTGAAATGTTGTTGCATGGGGCGAGTCCTGGAAAAGGAGGACGTCTGGTCACTCTGCCTCCGGTGAGAAAGAAGAGGCCCGCCCCTCCCATGTCCAGGGAAGGAAGGAATGGTCAGCGGTGGAGGGAGGGAGGAAGGAAGGAAGAAGGAAGAAGGAAGAAGGAAGGAAGAGGTCAGCAGCCAAGGCAGCTTGGGCTTTCTAGCCAGCCAGGCACCTGCGCGCTTCCCTCCAAAGCCCAGGGAAATGCGCGCCTCCTCTTCTGCCACTCAGAGGGGTTGCAGACTGCCAGAAATAGTGCAAATTGAGTCCACTTTAAGGGTTAGGGTTAGTGCTAGGGAATCATGGGAATTGTATTTTTTTCTGAGACATTGAGCCTTCTCTGTCAGAGAGCTCTGGTGCCACAATAAAATACAGTTCCCATGATTCCCTAGCACTAACCCTAACTCTTAAAGTGGACTCAATTTGCACTATTTCTGGCAGTCTGCAACCCTCCTCACTCAGCCTCGTGTTTGGCACACACTCGCACAAACACACGCGCGGGAAAATTGGGAACCCCAGCCAAAGTTTGCTCAGGTGCCACACTGGAAGAAACTGAACCTCTCAGTCCTCGTATACAGTATATATTTCAGGAGGACTGAGAGGTTCACTTTCTTCCAGTGTGGCATAAACACACACACATATACATATACTGGTTATTACACACACACACACACA